ACTTTCCGCCATCGTTCCACACGGCAAAATTTTCATCCGCATCACCTGGGCCTCAATTCTGCTATTTTATGTTCACGCCAAGCCAGTGTCATACCACTGACACGCTATTGAGATGCCATCCAGTGGAAGACGCATTGTCGTGGTACAGCTTCATTCCCCGGAGCCCAGTCTTTGGTTGTTTTTCCTGCACAGCTTTAAAAACTTTTGGCAATGCGGCTGCAGTATACAATTCTGAGTTACTTAGGTACAATTCTCTAGCATTAATGTTGGAAGATGTCCACTCCGTGAAAAAAAACTGGCCACCATTTTTTTGCCAAGATTCCTCGGTCTTTGCCAATTTTTTTGGCAAGTGGAAACACCCGAGGAACGCTTCTTGCTTACCGGATCATATTGATTAATCCATGTTTCAGCGCCAGTAATGATTTCAGAAACAGGTCTTGACCTCCTATTTTCAAAATGTAGACTCATCTCACGGCACTATTCCACACGGGCTTCTTTTTCGTTTTGGAGAGAAAACGAGGTATCCAACGACAACAAAGCTTCCTCATTCTAAGATAGTCATGTAATATGGTGTGAACACTAACCAAACTGATGGCTAAGATTTTCTCTTTGCCCCTGTATGTAATTCGTGGGTCATCTCGCACAATCATTTCAGTAGTAATATGGGTCGAGTGTGAGCACTTTTACCTTTGAAGCCTCATTATGCATTAGAACAGTGGGATTAAGACAATAAAAGCGTTATTTCGAATACAGTGTGACATTAATTTAAAAAATTAACAAAATCAGCAAGTGCACCAGTATAGAGTGAATGAAAGAAAAATCACCGAAAGTCAGACTGCGTACACTTGACCCGTATTGCGGGTAAATGTGCGTATTCCTGTGGGGTAGACGCAGACGCACGTATTCCCCTCAATCGCGGCCTGCCATTCTGAATGATTCGTCAAAGCGATTCTCAATTTTGTTAGCTGAAACTTATTCTAAAACAAATCGCTTTAAGTAATTTATAGGCAAGCCGAAAAGTCTTTCATCCATTTGCTTGTTACATCTTTTCGTTACTAGATGACTAAACTTTTTGTACTGGAAACTAAAAATGTAAAGGTACGTAGAGCTTAGCTTTAGTAAAATAATACTGCAGTTTGTTCTGCATTCAGTCCTAAACAATTTTTAATCGCCAAAATAATTTATATATAGATTTTGTAATCAATAATAATCATTTTGTGAACTGACTGTCATCTATCGTCAAGTAGAAAAACAAATATAAACAGAACAAAAAGGCATGGCCGAAATTGGAATCCAATAAAGTACTATTAATATGAAAATGAATGAAATTGTCCTAAAGATCATTTTTAAGAATTTTTTAAGTTATAAGTGACATTCTAATTGCAAAAAAAAACACTTTATCTAATATTTATTAATAAGTTTAGGATTTCGTAAAAGTCAACCCAAGAAATGCTCATTTATGAGTTATACTTATCTCATAAAATAGTCTCCTTGAAAGTAAATACTCTATGTACACTATTTAAAGTAGTTTTCTACCGCAAGACTACTATTATAAGAGTTTTAGCTTAGTTATTTGAGAGTTATTTTAAGCATTGGTTATTTCACAGTTTATTAATTTTTCTCATTTATTATTTTTCTCGGGTTGGCGTTGTAAAAGTGCATTCCGATGCCTAATTTGACATATTTTAGTTGTATTTGATTTGTAAATAAAATTACATTCATTATAATATTTTTGGTTCTCTCTTTCTTATTTGTTAATCTTTTCTTATTATTTGTTTTCTCTCAAAAATATTAAGTAGGTATCCTTATCTGTGGGTGAAATTTATATAAAATAAGAATAGAAAAGAGAACAAACTTTAATCATCATTCGTAATTTACCACAAACGTTTTTATTCTTAAACTTGCAATACCCAGTGCCTATGAGTTAGGTAATCCAGGTCATAAACTATCTGTATCAAATTGTATCCAAAGCCGTCCAGCCGTTTCAGCGCGAAACATAACACATACATAGTACATAGCGATAAGTCAACGAGAACGAACGAACACAATATAAACTATCGCTTTAATATTAGGGAGGTTAGTACGATCATAATATGAGTAAGATTTTTGCAATGGATGTACCTACTTATTAAGATGATTCAACAAATTAATCTAAAAAATGATCACTGCTACAAAAATTCTGAGTACGTCCCTTACACACCCACACAGTAGTGAGATAGCTAAACTAAATAGCAACATCGATATAGAACGATGCGAGTCGTTTTGCTATTGTTTGGTGGATGGAAAAAAGTGAAATGTGCGGTGCTTAACACCCCTCACCCCGCAAATCTAATTACAACAACTCTTTGTTTTTGCTCCAAGGCGTAAACCTTCAGACAATCCACATTTAAAGTCATAATATATCATAGCACGCAAATGTTCACGTTTAAGCTTCATTGTAGCAGACGAAAAAGCGGGAAATTATGACAAGTAATACCTACCTTCTAATTTTTTTTTAATTGCTGTAAATGGCCTTTTGTGTTCGATTTCGCTAGGTTTGCCTGTTAATAATATAATGACACAGAGGCGTTACATTTTCAAATTTCAAGCATCTCAAAACTTGTATGTTTGTATATATATGTATAGTGCGTACCTGCGTAGAGGCATATAATGAGAAAATGATTTGCAATGGAAGAGCCATACATTGGCACGTATCCCTAAGCCAACCGATGGCTCGACAGATATACAACAAGGTCGGCAAGGCATTAATCTCTCGAGTTCAGGTGTCCATGGGCGGTGATAGTCACTTACCATCAGGTGACACGTTTGTCCAACACCTAGTATCTAGGACTGACAACCACTTTTTAGACAAAAACATGTGACGCTGGAACTTTCAAACCTCAAATGTAATAAAATGAAACGCACAAACATTTTCAAATTTTTATTTAGATGTCCATTTTGATGTTAACAACTGAAAATTAACACGCTATTATAAACCCGTAGCAAAGCTAAAATTCTTGTAATTATCGGCTATTTCGAGGATTATTTTATACTAAATTCCTACCGGGCAGGGCTTGTTCACACAACAGAAACAAAAACCATTTTTGTGCGAAAACAATAAACATTTATGGGAACTTACGTAAACAAACAACATGGATAAACAATTTGGACCTCAAAAGTAAGTTTTGATTCCATAACAACAAATAAAGTTAACAGAAATATTTCCCACTTATCAGATCTATTTTACTTACGGTACCTACATACAATTCTAGATTATAGTAAGATGGTCTTCGGGCTTAGAGTCAAGTCTCATAATCGGCAATATTAGTTTTATATTAACACATGCTGTTTGGTGGCAAACATGTGTCCAAAAATGTAAAATTTCATATTGTTACACTTTTAAAATCGTCAAAAACCGTTTAGTGGTTATAAAAGACAATACCTACCGGGGTAGACACCTAGACACCTACTCTAGATACATGCGGCCACAATGTTTAGCGTTTTATTCGTAAAAGTTGAGTATTTTACTTCTTTTTCAAATAGATTTTTCCGATGGAGTTTCCTATATAGGTACTTCTAGTTTCTACAAAATTTGGACTTGACTATAAGCACGAGTTTAAAAAGCTTTAAAAAATAACCACATTTTTGTAAACAAACTATTTATGGAAGGATGCGAGAATGGACTTTGATAGGAACTAAATTAGAAATATTTAATTATATCGCTCTACACAATTATATAGAATACACGGTATTTCATACAAAACACTTTACCTTCCTACATTCCCATACAAATTCATACAATACATGAGCTAGGTACGAAATCAGTTGATTATCACTTTTGAAATGATTTCTTTATTTGCTTATACACAAAACTTTGACCAAAATCATTTATATTGTCAAAGCTAAATAGTGGCCAAAAATTGCGAAATTCCTTGCCTTGACTACTATTTGCTTATTTCAGTTCATGATTTGAGTATGTAGATACTTTGTGTAATGATGACTCGAAGAAGTTTTTTATCAGTAACTGCATTGACTAGATGCAAATCTGTAAATGATCCAACCAGTTATAGCAATTTCTTGTCTGTTCAATTGCCTTTTGATCAGTCCAGAGTTGCATCAGACTATTCCAATTTCTTTATTGAGTTACCTTGTACCAAAGCCTTTGTGTGGTTGAAATGTTAGGTAGTTCAAAGGTATGTATATACCCAAATCTTGAATAACAGGCAGCTACTTACTTCCAATCAGCCAAGACAATATGTCACAAAAAGGTTTTTAATAAGCCCCTACATTTTAAAAATCAATCACTTAGTACCCTGTTCCTACGGAATTTCATTGAAATCATTATTAAAATAATATTATTCATTTAAAATCTAAAACATTAATCAATCAACAATGTATTTATAAAATATTAAATTAAACAACAAATTACAGCGCATAACTGTTTTTTTCATAGTAAGATAATTAATCATTTACAAAACAGATACAAAGACCATGAAGTGTACATATATTTTATACTACTAAAGTACTATAAAAGCACTTGTTCAGGTGCGGTGACTTAGCTTTTGCGGTTTTCTTAGGTTAGGACTTATGCCATATCGAGACAATGTTAGAGTTGAATTCATTTTGCAGGTTTCTTTGTTTCAGAATTGCTTATGTAGCACATTTGATGTCCGCTAATGTAAATATCACTCATGACTATGCTTAAAAATCTAACTTTCACATCTCATTTAGATCTTCAAATTTAATTTTCAGTCCCTTATTTTTTTAAGTATGGATTAATTTGAAATCCGTTAAGAATTTACAGCCAGTGTAAAGTTGTCACTTCTCTCTGTCTATATCAATATTTTATTGTAATATAGCTATGACAGAATATGAAGTCCTACAATTAGAATTTATACTTTAATTAAACTTAAATATAAACTCATTCTGCCATAGTAATTTGTAAATTAAATTGTTCAAGATGGAAATTAAGTTTGTTTTTTTACCAAATTACTAAAAGGTTTTTTAATGATAAATAAAACTTAAAACTCAGACCGTCCAAAACATTTCTCTCTAACCCTTTTTATAATATTATCGTCCGGTGTTAACTTCCAGTCTATTGTTCTAAAGTCAGATTCATCTATTTCTTGGGATTGTGACTCGAATAAATCTCTCGAATGATGCCGTGACCTTTCAGCCCCGCGAGGCCTTTTTAACTTTCTATCAGGCTGTAATTCCGGTTTCGATATCTCATCGCGACGAGGGTTCGGCGTTTTCCAAACTGGCTCCTCCACAGATCGTTTTATCAACATGTCTGGTGGTGAGAAATATGAAAAAAATGGGCTAGACAGTTTCGGCTCTTTCTTTTCTTCATTATTAGGCATATCAAGAAACGAGAACGTGTAGTCAGCGTCGTAAATTTTTTCATGAACGTATGATGATATGAGACGGCGATTGACAGAATCCCCCGATTTACGCTGCGGTTCAGCGAGTTTCGTCTGTGTTTTTTTTATAAACATAATAAAATCGTAATACCTCTCGACATTTTCGGCGCATCTGTGACATATCGTGTTTATTAAATCGTTGTCCTCGATTACTAGTTTCAAACACACCAGAATTTTGTCTATCAGATTTGTTTTTTGGCTATAATTGCCAAATAATGACACATTAAACTCTGTCTCCGATAGACACAGGCGGCAAGACTTTCTCGATATTTCCATTTTATTTTAGAATTAAATAATAAAATATTTTTGATTCGACTGATCTTCCCGCCAAATTTTAATGACACGAATGACATACGATGTGATTCGATAATTGGGAGATACGTTCAAAACATATTAGTTGTTCAGAAAACTGAAATAATTATTCGCCAAAAAACACTACATTGGACGGCTTTCAATTATGTTATGTATACTTTGCCCTTGTTTATTGTTATGTCTAAGAGAACCACATTTCACTTACTACTTAGACATTAAATGTAGTGAACTTGAGAACTATTTTATTTTTGAACGAATAATGAATATGTTTTTGTGTTGTTCAAAACTCATAACAAAGGAATCGCTGGAGTTAAAATTTGCATTAAAAGCTAAATTAACAAATGAAAAGGCCCTGTAAAAAAATTTAAACTGGGTATACAGACACAATTTAACATTAATTATAATTAACAATTTCAATAAAATATATTTAAGGAAATTAGAAAAAAAGCTGTAGGTACATAAATGTCTAAATCGATTAATTTTCAACAACATTAATTTGGATCCTATCTTATAAGTATCTAAGTAGATCGAAAATCTGTCATACGTTGTAATAATTATTCATAATAAATTAATTAAATAATCCATGAATCATAAATAAATATATAATTAACTGCTAGTCGTCATTACTACTATCACAAGCCACCACACTCCTATTAAATAGACAGTGATTTTATGATAAATACCAAATAAATGTACATACATAATAATACAGTCGTCGTTATAAAGCGAAGCTTTTTTTCATATTTTTATCCGTTTTAAACATTGCGTTTAATTTTCCCTACTTTTATTGATTTTTATAACTTTTCATATACTATGCACATTGTAACTATTGTACAAAAAATGGACATAACAGCAATATCTTGCCATAGCTAAACAATTAGATAGTTAATTTCGATTTTTGTTAGATCGAAATAAAAGAATAAAAGTTCTACAAGAAGTCACAATGCACATTGAAAAGTGATACCAATTTCAATGCAACTAAACGTTGTCTTCTTCCTTTTTCCCCCAGAACTTATCAAACCTAGTACGAGCTCTATCTAATATCTCCGCAGCAGTTAGACCACCAGTAGCAGGTGTTTCATTTACCACATTAGTATCAACCACTCCAGGTGCAATCTGAGTCGCTTCAGTCGACTTTTTGATCACTTCTTTCTCCTTCAGCGGTTCTTGGGTAGGAGTTTCAGGAGTGAGCTCATTGCTGTTGATGCCATTGACTCCATTAACGCCGTTAACTTTATTCATGTCTAAGGCCTTAGTCTCATCAATGGGAGTGAGGCTAGTCGGTGTGGTAGGTGTCTTGTCAGTACGCTTGCTCAAGCTTGTGGGCGATTCGCTCTTTTTCAGCGAGCGTATTGGTGACATTTGCTGATGATGAATTGGAGCGATTTCTGGAACAGTATTTTAAAACTTTAGATGTTTGCTCAGAAATCTTAAGTTTTTTTGAGAGTTTCAATTTCTTGTTATTAGATTTAGAAAAAGTGAACGCTCAATACTCAATCATTCTTAAGTTCTATAATGTACACAAATGGTCTTAAAAATATAAAAATGTAAAACCATTATGAACCCTGTCGAGCACAACAAAAGGTTGTCTAAAGGTTTTAAATTTTCAAAAGCTTTGTTTCAGACTTTGAAACTCCCAATACACCAAATAAGCACATATAAGATCTTTTATGGTCCTTTTGACTGCATGTAAAAATCGGAAATTAGGTCCGATGGATTAGAAAATTGTTAACAGGATTAAAGAACCACCAAAGATCACAGGTCGAATAATTTCCTAGCCTGTAGGTTATTGTAGGGTGCTCAATTTTCTTTTACTGTCGGTATCTATTTAATTACTTACCTACTATTTCCAAAAAGACAGCAATTTTAACACCTAATTATTTAAATAATTTTACTAGGAATTTTATTTTATAACTTTCACTTTAACATGCTACCTTCTATTTGAGTACCCTGACAAGATTTCATGCTAAATAGTAACTATTACTCGTAACACTAATAAATAACTCGACTATTTTTTTAACTTATGAAGGAGACATGCAAAACTATACTTAGTTATCAAAATATTCCATGGAATGTGACAGTTTTGATGATGCTTAGAATATTATGTCAATAAACGACCTACTGTTCCTAATACTAGCTCTGTAGACGTATTTGACAAGAGGCCATAATTATACTAACTTCTAATGATATTGAAGCACACACCGTAACATCTTCCCATAAATATAATAAGTCAGGCAGCATGCAGAAGTGATACGATTAGAATGACATGAGAAAACAATAAGAATTCGGGTGCCATACTGTGACAGTGTACGCAAACATCGAAACAGACACACACAGACAAGTGAATACATACGTGGTCGACGCCTCAGCGGAGTACGGTCAAAATAAATAAAAGCATCTCAATTATTCCAGTAACACAATTTAATCATGAATTATTAAATAGGTATAATATAAAACAGATTATATATTTTTTTCTGGTGTCGATCGTGTGTCGTGCTTATGAGATAGTGAGCTCTATTTGTTGGGGATAGAGCTCACTGTCGCATCGTTTGTCACACTCATTAAAACGTGTGTATGGCCGATGGTCTAGGCGGTGGCAGTGTTCGTCGTACCTGCCGGCTTCACGGTGGCTTCTTCGGCTACGGAGCCACCCTTAAACTCAGAGCTAGGGCGCTTAATGCTCTCATCTGAAATGGTGAGCGATTTGTATGGTTGGATGAAGTGAACTAACGTTGCGTTCTATCTCCACGGAAAATTACTTTAGCACTGCATGTTGAAGTTTTCGGAATCAATTAAGAGATGGCGCTATTAACAGTATTTCCTTTTTCTGTGGATTTAGAACGGTTTCAAATAAAACACTGGTTGTGTACGAACAAAAGTGTGAAATGTGTGATGATCATAATATTAATGAGTGTACTCTTATAATCTTTTATGCACATGATTTCATTGTGGTTGTTGTGTGAAAGTGTCGCAAGCTCTAATCGTCCATACTATGTTGGCACATTTTACTGAATGATGATGAGTGAATGAGTCTTCTGACTACGAGTGTAATGAAATGACAGTGTGATGGCTTACAAATTGATCTTCAAAATCATTTCCTATTCATACACCTTACCTACGTTATTTTAACAAGTCAATGATCGTATAATTATTTAGAATACTGTTCATTTGAAGAGCATCTAATTCGAAAACTAGGTTACAAAAGAAAGTGCTATATTTTACATGGTAACACCACCACCATGATTGAATTACATACTATTACACCAGAGAGAAAAAGATACTCTTTATTACATTTCAAACACAGTGAAACTAATTTTACGACGTTATTTCAAAGAGAAATAATTTTACTGTTCGTTTATTGCCCAGTCTCTTGCGCCAAACAGTGACGCAATTTTGAAGCAATTGACTGTGACGTTTTCTAGATGCTATTGTACTTATAGGATAAAATAATTACTAATAAAATTTAGTGTAATAAATAATATCTCTAACACCGATAAATAATTGTAAATAGTTTACGCCCATCAAGAAATTCTAAATATTTTGGATACAAATTGAAAATACACGTAAAATCAGTCCCACATTCTTATTTTAAGCTAGTCTAGCTATATTTTCCGCCCAGTCTGAGTAAGATCCTGCACTCACCGCTTTTCACGTTCTGTGTGACGGTGAAGGTCTTCCCAGTGTCAAGAGGGACCGTCCAATTAACAGGATCCGGAGACCTCATGTTCATCTGCTCGGGAGACTTGACCCTGGTCGGTTCCGGGGGTGATTTTACCACGGGAGAGTCATCGAAGAAGTGATCCTTGGCTACCGAAGCGCTGCGGTGTGCGTGGATCTCGTCGTCTGAAAGAGGGCCATTTGTCGGTGTTTTTTGGTGATAATAATTGGCTGTATAGTTACAGATGTGTTGTAATAAAAAATAAAAACAAATAGAAAAGACTGGCCTTTTGACCTATACAAAGTTGGCAAGACATTGAAAGCATAGATTATAGATTTTTTTTGAGGCAGAGGTAGCAATTTTACGCGATAGCATTTAACGATTAATTCATAATTATAAATTAGCACATCTGTAATTATACATACCAGTACATATACGAGTATACGTCTTTGTGCCTATTTTTGCAGTGAAACCAGTTCTAAGCACTTGTCACAAACAAAAAAGTATTTTAAGTGTTAAGTTTTCATATAAGTATTTTAGAGTTGCCAGGAAATTAAACTAAAACTTAATTGATTGTAATTCTGTTTGGCGACATAAAAAGCAGTTTCCATAATAGTTCACAACGATAAAATCGTTTTTTTTTAAATTAAATTGTAATTAAAAATGTATTGTAATTAATAGTTTTTAATTATTTGAAGCAGTCAAAATAATAAGAAATAACAAAATGTAACAGTTAGTTATTTGATCAACTACATATTTTATTTGATCTAGACGCCTACCTAAATTACTTAAGTGAACAACTTGATTGATATTAGATGGGATAAGTTTTCGTGGTGAGGGATATAATTTGTATTGAATATTGGAACTAAGATCTAATCGGACTTGAAATTTTTCTAAATCAACATTCAAACTAATTAACAATTTGCTATATCTATTTCAAATTAAAACATAGATTGCATGCAAATCCAAACATGTTTCTAACCACAGAGTAAGGAATTAGGTGAACAGCGCTTCATCTCTTACCACGCTGGGAGGTTTCAATGCTCTGTGTTATTTACAACAAACACTAACGTAAAGTTTACAACTCTCAAACACATAATTAGTTTACTATTATGCACTACATTTCTAATATCGAATATATTTTTTCTTTATGGCAACACCAATCTAAAGTAAATCTACTAATAAAAAACTCCTAAGGGGTTCTTTCAATGACGGTTCTTAAATTTCTATTATAGTCACGAATCTAAGACTCCACATTTTTAACAAACAAGTGACTAAATTAATATGTAAAATTATTATCATAGTATAACCCGTAGCAGGTCTATAACAATCATTTTTTCAGTATTTACTCTCGTATTACGAAATTTAGGGATCGTATAAGCATCAAAGTAGACGGACGGACTGTGTAATTTTAGTTGAAGGGCTGCCAGTACAATAATTTTATATTGTACTGCAGATCCAGGCAAAATACAAATTTAAATTCTACCATACAAAGCCAGTGTTGCCAGTAATCTTATTTAAGAATAAGAAATACTTTTTTGCTTTGATAGTATATATGGCACATCCGAGACACGATTACTTTCATTTTTTTTGGAACAATCTAGCAGTTCAGAGATCGGTAAAAAAAACAATCTAGTTTGTGAGCGAATGTGCTCAGTTGCGACGATAGTGAATATCCGTAAAGGTCCAGACTGTCACAACTACTGGTGGGGGTGTGCAATGTGTTCACACAGACAACACGGATATACAATCAGACCTGTGTCGTGTCAAGCCATCTCAGTCGGTGCCATTGCGTTCTTCAGTGACCAACGTTGCGTAGACGCACTAACAATAGGAATAATACAACATAAAGCCCACAGAAAACACGAAAAGCTACAGAATGTTTAAAACTTTTTCCATAAGTCGAGTAACTTTGGCCCAACGATTTATTGATGAAAAATAGTTGGACCAAAGTTGACATTAATAACAATTAACATTGGAACGAGTTTTAAGCATTTATTAAGTAAAAAATTATGTTTTTATTATCTCCTGCCAATCATTGAACAAAAATGTTGGTAAAAAGAGACAACAAAACAGTACAACAATTTTAAAGCCACACAGGACATTACCAATTGTAACAGTAAAGTCAAAAGCATCATGGACTAGAAGCTTTAAGAACATAGAGCGTCGACGCAACTGCAACAGTCACCTGGTAGAGTTACGCACCCAACTTTATTCCGACTTTGGACACGCTGCGACTGCGGCGGCCTCTCCCCGGGACCCCGTTAGTCATCGGCGCCCCAGGAGTCCCAACAGTCCCTGGGGCCCCAGTGCCCATTTTGCTCGGCGCTGATGGTGATCGCCCGCCCCGCGATGTCGACCTAACTCTATTACTACTCCCTCTACTCAACGGCAAACCTACAGAAGAAAGTATTGTTGTCTACTATTTTTGGGCTATTGAGAAATGGCTCTTCGAGTACTTTTTGGCGAGTACTTGGCTAGAATCTTTATTTTTTCTCATGTTAAGTTTATTCCCATTAAAGTTTAAAAATTAGCGGAGAAGTAAAAATCTACATGCGTATAGGACATCACGGCGCCTTTTTCTTTTCGCTATTGTTTGCTTAAGCGAGATTTTCAAGATTTATTGTGTGTTAAAAAAAATGATATTTTCTAGTTCTATGGTTTTTAAAATTACTTTGTTATGTTCCAAATATTTTTTTTCTTTTGTTTCTTTTATGTGTTAGAGCCATATTCTCAGAATTTAGCCACAAAGGAGGGGACAAGCACCAGGCAGGATAACAACAGTTAGTATTAGTACACACATCGATTAGCTTAAATCTAGACTAGACACAGAATCTACTAGAATTTAGAAGAAGAAGGAGCAAGTTCTTTACTACTCTACTCGTAGAACTGATACGTTATCGTAGAGATTTCGTAACGAGATTTAATTAATAACCTAATTAGCTTTTGGATAGACAAAAACGTTTCGTGGAACTATTTTGAAATAAAATTATAAAAATTCTTCAAAAATAGTGATTTTCTATTCCCTGCTATCTTTATTCTTATAGCTCTTGAATTTCTCATTTATGCCTAAATTACAGAAAAAAAGAGAGCGAGGGGTTTTCATCAGAAATTATTTTCAGAAGTTAAAATTATTAGCTTCAAGTCATGAAAAACATATAAACGGAATTTTCTAACAGGTTCGGTTTTTATTTTGCGTATAGTTTTGCAAATCCTGGTATAAAAAATAAATCTATATGCTGATCCTGATGAAGGTCAGGGTGTCAGACCCACCCACATCAATAATCTTTAAAAGAAAGAGAAACGGAGCTCAAGCCCTTCCTAAAATAAAAGCAAGTCGATTGATTCTATTTTACTAGTCCTTAAATTCAGCAGCATCTACAAGCAACTCACCAGTTGGTTTGATAGGAGCCGGGTGCGGTTCATGTCCGTTGACGAGATGTTTGGCATGAGCAGCGGCCGGCGCAGGGTCGGCGGAGCGCGGTCGCCGTCGGGGAGACCGGAATGCTGCGTTTTCGCCAGTTTTCGCTCCTGGAATACGAATTTTAGGATTAATGGTTAATCAAGAAAATTTCAGATTCATATTTTGATTGTGGTAAATTTTTGAAAGTCTGATTTAGCCAGAATGTGAGCGGTCCCATTACATAAGTGTTATAAGTTGAAGCCTGGATAAGTTGCTAATAATTTTAAAAATGTGCTACAAGTCCTCCTGATCCCCCCAAAGCCTTTATTCCATCGCTGAATTTTTCTAGTTTATGTACCCATCCTTTGTTCTACGACCGGGTTTGAAATGTATCAATAAGAAAGGTAACGGATAAATTTCAAAAAATAGTACTCTTATTAGACCATGAGGTTAAATTAAGATATAGGCACCCACCATCATGAGTAGCGCCTTCATCAAAGCTCTGTCCCTGCAGCTTCTTCCTCTGCTTCTGGGGCGAGGTCTTGTGAGGGGAACGTTCTAGGGCCTTCGTCTCCTGCAGCTTAGCGTGGATCGATTGGTGGGGCGCTGACCGAAACGACCGGTACTTCTTTGGTGAATGTCCCTTAGATTCTTTACCGTCTTTCTCATCACGTGGCAGCACTCTGGGAATAGAAAACGTATTTCATATGATATTCTATAATTCGAAGTTATACTCGTACATATATTATGAACTTCTGGAGACTATTTGGTTAAAAGCAGCATAGCCAAATGCTGAGTAACATAGATGATACTCCAGAACTCACCAAATAGGCTAATTGTTCTGTGCAATTGCTGATAGCAGCTAAATTTTTCAACAAATTATTGATTAGACTTCCCAAATCCTATGAATACCACGCTTCAGTGAAAAAATCAGAGAAAGGCGGATGACGTCTAGTCTACTGTGTGGTAGCGGATACATGTCTCCTTCCGCAACTTAAGCGATTTTTGCTTCAGCGTCATTGCTTCTAAATCAACTTAGGATAATATAAAGCGGCTTGGGGTCTTCAGCTTGAGGAACTGGTTGCAATAAAACTTTAAGCATAATTGCTTGCCTACCTATATTGTAAGAAATTTTATCACATTCAATTCTGGATTTTTTGCCTCATTTACTAACGCAGCCGCAGTGATTTCGAAGTGCTTTCAATGAAAAAAATAATGATAGTCGAAGTGTTCCTCAAGCTATAGAAGCCATCGCCTGGTGCATCACTTACTTGTGATTGGTGGAAGCTAGTGATAATGCCGACAACGAGGATCGGCGGGACACTTGGTACCAGAGCTCGATCTGCTTATTGTAAAGCTGTGTGATGTGTTCTGGCGCCATTTCAGTCCCCCAGCCGCGGTACTGTCGAAATATTGCCAATATTGAATACTAAGCATGATTATGGATAAGCGAACTATTTGATGTGTGTCTGATAGGGCCTACCTAACCTTTTCAATAAACAGTCTTATTTATCACAAATTGTATATATAGAAATATATCTATTACTGTAAACCATTTTTTTTTGTGTCAAATATATAGAGAGAATTAAAAATTCAAGACAGGGCAGAAAAGTTTTAAAGAACCAAAAAGATGCTAAACAGAAAATTAACAATGATGATGTAAATGCTGACGTTTAATTTAAAATCCAAACTAATATTCCTCTAACGCGAAAGTCTTCATTAATTAGATTTTGGTTCCAAAGCTTATCCGTCCTGTTGACATTTACAGTTTTAAAGCTTGCTATTCAATTTCGGGAGCTGTCCGTGTGTTATTAGTTTTTACATGTAGTATGTAACAGACGCAGACCTTATATTCGCCGGCGCGCTTACGCAGGTCCAGCACCTCACGATACCAGGAGTCGCCTTGGGCCAGGCTGAGCGGTTGCAGGCCCGCCGCGCGAAGCGTCGTGGCACTGTCCTCCCCGCCGTCAATCCCCGCACCCCCTACCGCCCCTGACCCCGTGTCCCCTCGCCCAGAATCCCCCAGCATCCTCTCGCTCGCCTCCTCATTCGACTTCCCTTTCCCCCTGCATTTCGTAAATGTCCCTTTAGACGCCTCGTACACGTATTGAGAGAACGGTCTAAATTTCTTTTTGTACTCGCTTTTGTAACGTTTCCTATTATCTTTGGAACGATCCTCCCCGTTGGATATGAGGGCCGATAGCGCGTTACGGAACGTCGATTTTCTGGAAAATTCCATTTAAGTCTTAGACGCCTGGTGGTTGTCGTCTGGGATGATGATGTTGCAACAGAAACGACTCGCGCCGAGCCGGGTTAGTAGTACAGACATGCTTCAAATAATTGTCAAGCTCGCAATGGTGAGGTTAGAATGTCGAAACCTAGAAGAGTCTAAAAGGACCGACAGACAGTGTGGGCTGCCGCCCCGTGCCCTCTCTCTCTAACTCCAGTGTTCAAGTGTGGTGATACATCGACATACAGGTTCTAAATTAAACATTATCAATGAACGTTCACATCGACATATATAAGTGCAGGACACATTGAATAATCAAAAATCTAGCTGTCATTCCGTACTAATGTTTTTGTTTATCTAAGTCTACTTCGGCCTAGACACCGTCACCGTGAGGAGTTTACATGTTAAGCAAATATCAAAAACGAAATTTAGACTTTGTTCTGCTTTGAAAAAGGCTTTAGTAAAGAGTTGGGGGCAGAACACTGTTGTGGAGGAACCTTTGTCGAATGATAATTAATATGTATCAGTCAATTTATTATTAAAACATTGGGCTTTTATCAAAACTTTTGAACTACGACATCAATAAAATAGCTTTAGTTATCATATTCTAATTTGTTTTTACTTCTACATTATGGGAATTTTACTTCATAAAGTACATAATTTAACTAAAAAGTATTTAGAATTATAAGCAATACTGAATATTTGATATTGCCAATGATACACATGACTAACTTGATAAAACATTAATTTATTAAACTGGGATCAAATTTGATGGCGATTTCTAGGATTTTAAAAGAAGTACGAATTACACAGCTTGATCATGAGTACATAATTAAACAGAAATGAAACATTCTGAATATAGAAATTGATTCTGTGTTAGTGTGAGCCCAAACTAAAGATAAAGAAGGTGATTAAAGAGAAAAAGTTTCCTCCACAACCAGGTTAGTACATAAAGCTAAACACACAGAAATTTGAAAGCTATAGCAATCTCACAAAAATTTATCAAATTATCTTCACCTGAAAAAGTCTGGGATTATTTTTTACAGTTTATATAGATATGTACAAGTTGATGTCAGGTGTATATTAAAACACAGTGTAAAGTCCGGATTTTTACGGATTTTAATTTAGAAACATGGTTTCTTGTGTGCTTATGTGTTTCCACAGTGTATTGAATGTCATCGGTGAAGATATGGTAGTTTCTAAACACATTTTGGATGATTCAAATTACTAAAAAGCTGCTGCTTTAGCGTTAAGCAAAGCTTTTTGTGACAATGATCAAAGTAAGAATAGATTAATGATTATAGACTGTTTCTTTATGGGTTGTTGAGTGTTAAAATATAAATATAGGCATGCTGATAATACTATGAAAGATATAAATAATAAAATATGAAACAATCTATAAGAAGATTTGGGAAGCTTTGGTTTTAAGAAAATGTGATAAGCTAAAGCTGATTAAGATTAAATCAAGTTACAGAATTGTAAAATGTAAGTCATATTACAAAATTTTGCAATTATTCTTCTGTAATTCTGCATAGTATATCAGACTAAGATTAGTTGGCCGTCTACCCAAGTTTTGGTTTAATTAAATGATGCTTTTTATTTTTATAATGTTTCAAGATTCAGTGAATGTGTCTCTCAAGCCCTTGTTAATATCATAACATCATCTAGTTAAACCAATCAACTCCATAGTAGACGAACCATCTATAAGGCGTAACAAAATTGTTTGGGAACCCACCTCTGGACTCCAGGTTTCTGCCCATTCCAGAGATAGTCTTCGATGTATCGCTTGTGATCGTCATGGTCTCCATCGACGTGGTTCATCAAGGGTTCAGCTTCAACTAACCCTGGAATTTTAAGGTAGAAAGCATGTTTATTTTACTTGGACCTATAACATTTAAAGTTTTTCGTAGCACGGCACATGACTTTTTTACTGTTAATATATCATCGAAACCTCACTGACCACCTTGTTCTGGTCTGATTCATTTTAAACTATCTGCGTAAAACGAATCATTATTTTGAGCTTATTTAACCGAAACGACCTTGTTTGGGCAAAATCTTAGCATGTCACAAGTTTCGTTTCGCTACGGTCTTTGACATTGATGTGTTGCGTAAACCTAAATTGGAGAGCAAAAGTAATAGCTTTGTTGAATATGTTATGTTTTAAATCTGTCTTCATCCCCGAGGTAAACAGAGGCGTATTAGGACGCCCACATTTTTTCGACTATAATTTCAGTCAGATTCAAGAATTAGAGGGCAAGAATTTTGCTGTCAACCGGGCATATTTTTATGAAAATATCCTACATACCTATATATTTTAAATATATATAAAAATCAAAAAATATAAAAAATTGAGACGATTGTGCTCATCACGCAATATTCGTCATGAAATGAAATTGAACGCACGCTCAGGGTCGTTAAATTCAAATTCAATTTAAATTATTTAATTTGGACAAAGTCTTAAACTAGTGTTAATATTAAATAAAATGATTAACAAACTGTTTACAATTATTTTCAGCCAACAGGCCCATCAATAGTTATTTATTTATATGCTAATGTAGAATCTATTACAGTAACAACCCTTAGTAATTGTATTAATCTAATGTGTAATGGTATAGTATGCTCGATATTTGCAATAACAATTAGTTTTACATAATTACTGCTCACAATTTCTTTTAAACAAAACGCGGATTCAAACGTTTTACAGACGTAAACAGTTAATCAAGTAAAGCAAAGCATTATTTATGTTAGAACATATTTTGCGGTATTTTTGCTGCACAAAAGAATAGAAAAAAACCAGTACCAATTCAAATTTACCTCTTGCATGTAAAACAATATTAAAATAACAATGTTCTTCCATTTCATTGTATATTTGCACGTGAAAGTAGAGTTTATCTAAATATTTGAATACGCTTCAAATATTTTCTGGAAAGTTCTCCGTTTCTAATAAATAATGCATTTGCAGATAAGAATGAAACTTTGTTGGGAAATGAATCTGAATAATTAGTATCTCTAAATAAGAGTTCAGTTACCTCAAGTGTTTTATACATTGTTACAAAATGGTTCAACATATTTGATTTAAATGGTAGTTGAGTGTTTGATAGAAGAATTAATGAATACATCAGAGAAAGACCGAAAGTACCGCCAGTCGATGAAAAATTGAGAAATATCAGGTGATCCTGTTTTTTTTTTTAAATGAAAAGATATCTCCCGCACTAAGAATAAATCCTGTGTCGCGGGTGATTTACAAACATACATGAAACACAAACGTACTTACACAAAGAACACACAGACTCAGAACAATAATTTGTAGATCACACAAAGCATTGTCCCATGTGGGGATCGAACCGTCAACGTTCAGCGCAGTAGGAAGCGGAGAGCTGACCGCTTAAACCACTTTGCTATACGTGCATTCAAAGTATATTATGCAAAGATATGAGCAAAGGTGGTAAAGAAAGTCTTATATATGTAAGTACACGGAACCGAGAATAGCGGACCACAAAAAAGGTGGTTAGCCTGCCTTATAAAAGACATGCCTGAGAGGAAGCAATAAGCTGATGAATGATAAAGGAGAATAGAAGAATAAAACTCAGTACGCCGACGCCAAATAATTTATGAGAAAGAAAAAGAAGACAAAAAATACATTGAAGTTCCCAAATTCGACTAGCAGAATCCCTTACCCTACCTATTTCTAGCTTGTCCTTTTAGGTCACTCCGATTTACCTACTTCTCACTTCTCCTGTCTTGTCTGCAAAGATGACACTGCCAAGGATGCCGACCTTAAAAGGAATTAACCAGGAAAAAGTGGCCATAAGTTTGTTTGCCCGTTTCTTTTCACAAGACTTGCCTGTTTCGAAGTGAGTGACTATACTCGTAGATCGTAGATCGACATTTCTATATAGCGATCTACCTTTTTACAACACGTTTTTATTGATTATTTAGTTTTACATTTTACTTGTGTTACTTTCGTTAAAGGAACCCATTTTTGCGATGACAGTTTATTGAGCTTTAAGTTTAATATTAAAATAGAAACGATTTTGAGTAACTTTTAAGGCATTCTTTATTTTGAATAAGTGTTGGCTTAAAAGTCTGATGCTTGTATTAGAGTGAGTTTTTCTACCCATATCTCGTAACCAAAGCTTGGTTGGCCAAACAGCATTCAAGGTTAAGGTGATTAGAAGGTGAGGGGGTGTTTCCACTGTAATTTACCTAATTTAAAATAATGTATTATTATACAACCAGGCATACCTTCGGCAGCTGCAGCCTTCTTGAGCGCTCCCATCGAGATGCTCTTCCTGGGCACGGAGTCGGTGTTGTCTTTCGGCCACGCGTACTGGTTGCGGTACTCTGTGCTCGCGATCTCCGGCTCCTTGACTGTCATCACGTCACCTAACGCGGTTGTTGCCTGGACAACATAGATAATAGATATGAATTTTGTGGTCCAAAATCAATTGTGATAACTCAAGAAGGAGCAAACGTGTAAAATTATCTTGGATAAAGTGAGGTTTTTTAAGTAAAAGGAGGACAAACGAACAGATGGGTCTTCTGATATTGAGTAACCCTCTGCCCATGAATACCTGCAACTCAAAGTCAGAAGTACATAGCCGCCCTTTGGATCCCAGAATTAAAGGGTGTTATTCTGGACTCAATCACGATAATATTACGCTGTACAATGAATTGTCAGCCGTATACCGTGATCGTAATCGTAGCTGAAAAGGTATAGTTTATAAATATGATCGAGATTAAGTCTCAAGTGAGACATCATTCTATCAGTTCAGGGTTCCAAGCTATCAGTAACTGACATAATCAAGTTATCCTTGTCATTTAGTTAATTGAATAAAAATAATACTATTATAAGAAGATCACGCAATTATCAAACAATATTAACTTTATAACAATAAAATAACTTATTCGTCGATTAGTTTTTCATCCACTGCGCTCTTGCAATTACAGATACGGTCGAACGGACGCCATTTGTGATTAATTTCTGAACCAGGTGCCTGATAGATTTTGTTGCAGCAGTATTAGTAAATAATCAATTCAAGTAACCAAGTTTCTTTTTTGTTACCGTTACCTATAGCTACACCTCTGTTGAAGTGAAAACTTTTTTAGGCGCGTTAGGCATTTTTTTGAGATGGGAAAAACAATTGAACTCTGTATATATAGACACCTCTGTATATAAGTTTTCTCTTATGTCGGCACTCCCGGAATGCCAGTGTTTTTTTTTTCACTTAATGAGTGTTTTCTACGTTTGAGCGTGTCATTTACATAGATTTTTTTAAAACGTAAGTAAGTAACGAGAGAGAGAGTAAACGAGCAAATCGGTCCTATGATGGTAAGTGACTACCTTCGATCACGAACACAACTCAAGAGTCACATTAGTGCTGCCTCACTTTGTGTCCTCCCTCCCACAGAATCAGGGGGTTAAGGCTTCGGTTACCTCACTCATTCGGTGAAAAGCAACGATAGGCTTGTTTAACAATGGGTTCTTGTACTTCAGCCTATTACCGTTAAACTGCACTGGACTGCACGGATGGCGTGGTGGTTTAAGCAGTCGCCACGCCGCTTATTACTACGCTGAGTGTTAGGGATATTTCATTACATCATTAATGTTATTTGTAAAATTCATTGTCTTAGCTAATGTAAAGCAGGCTTGAATGCAGACCCAAAAAAGTAGTGTTAAATTATACAGTTTTAATATCAGTTCACGGTTATCGACTGCACGGATGGCGTAGTAGTAGTAGTAGTTGTTGTTGTTGTGGGTTTGATCGCCGCTAGCTACTACGCTGAGTGTTGTGGGTCCGATCCCCACATGGGACGACACGTTGTGTAATCCACAAATTGTCGTTCTGAGTCTGGGTGTTCTTTGTGTCCGTTTCGTGTATGTTGTGTTTTAAAGTTAAAAAAATACTGCTGATCGAAAGCCAACAAGCGCCAACCATCCCGGTCGGAAGCCCATTTATGCTGAAACATGGCTATTCCACGAGGATATTTGCATGAGTCAGTGATAGTAAGTTAAGACAATACGGTGAAAGTGTGACCCGGCATTGAATATGTAAATGAGTCACGTAGATATTGGCCGTGAGTTTTGTCGATCATTATCAAATTGCGGTCAATATAATGTTTCACAGATGCAGAAACTTTTTTTTCTGTCGCTGTGAAACTTGCGAAATGATTTTCTTGGCGGGCGAATAGCAAACCGTTTAAATAATTGAGGCGTTTTATTTTATTTTTGTTTTTCTTTTATTTTAATGTCAAATTAGTTAAAATATTAAAAAATAACTTTTTAAAGTATTATCTATACTCACGTCATGATTTTTTAAAGATATATAAAGATATATACATAGCTAAAAGCTGCGGTAGCCTAGTGGTTAAGGCATTGGACTTGCGACCAAGAGGTCGTGGGTTCTAATCCTGACCGGTACACCACCGACGTAAACCCACTCCTTTAGCTTAGCTGGAGGCTTAAAATATAGGCGACAAACGATCAGAAAGGTCACCTAATGGTGATACTTTTTAATATTGAATCTTTTATAACCTACTTAAATAAAAATTGAAATTTGTAATGTGGTCGAAACGCCAGGCAAATCAAACATACCTATAATATCTTTGAATTGATATACCTCTGTACTACTTTAGGTAGGATAAGGGTGTTTACGTAGCCGGCTCTAGTTCTGCACTATTAGGATCCAAGCTTAAATCTTATGTCCGGTCTCTGAGAAGCTTTTATCAGTAGATAGTCTATCAGCTAGTTTACTTATTGGACGTGAGCTTTTATCAGTTCAATAATTTATTGGACGTAATAATGCCGTGTCATTGACGTGAAACATATAATTCGGACGGCTGTTGGCGTAGTGACGCGTCGCCACGGCATGCATCGCGTCGCCACGGCATGCATCGCGTCGCCACGCTATATGCTAGTATAATGTAACATCTAATACGGTGTGGCGATGCGTCGCTGTATTTATTTCCCATTATACAAAATAATTTCATATCTGCCAGACTTCCTGCGATGATTTAAGTGTTTTTAACTAAAAGTAAAAGGCTAAGTATTAAAATTATTTGAAGGAGAGCATAAATGTAATGAATACTTATCTTAGTGATACATTTTGACAGTTTTAGAGTTTATTTGTTACACAACAGTACCTAGAAATATGAGACGAAATAGAAATCTATTTAAAATATTAACGGATGAATAATTTAAAATGAGATATTACTATTATAATACTACTATTATATACTATGACATACCTAAATGAGTTTGTTAGTCTGTTCATTTTTTAACTTTTATAATGTAACTAGCATAAATCTACCGTGTAGTGTCGTAACGGATTAAGAATACGCAGTGTACCCTATTTATCCCGTGAGTGGCGTAAGAGCCGACTAAGTGAGCACATTTCGTAGGACAACAGCACTGCAAAGAGAAGGAAAACTTGAAACAAACCCTATATAAACCCGTCTGGCCAGCGTGGTACAGTAGGCCAAAATCTTCTTTCTAAGGAGAGGCCTATCCCCAGCAGTGGACTAGTCAAGGTTGTGATATAACGTGATGTGTAGTCTACCATGGGAGAGCTAGCTTAAGCATGTAAGGACCAGCTCGATTGGAGTGATATGATGGCCTCACAAAACCGGTGACTAAATGAGTTAATTGGGGGCCCAACCCCTTCCCCGTCTTCCCCAATTCTGGAGAGTGGAGGCACAAAATGTGGCAACGCACTTGGTCCTATTGAGTTGCATGCGTCTATGGGCGGCGGCAGTCACTTACCATGAGGCGACCTTTCCGCTCGTTTGCCTCTTACACACAAAAAATTGGAAAGTATGACGTCACGTTTTGGTAATACATACATGTTTTTAAAATACCTATCGATTTGACGTTTAATCAAAAGTAGGCCCATTTAACTTAACAACCAACTACTGTAGTCTTAACACAAAAAAAACGGCGTGAGGTGTCTATGGAACCCCGGTCAGAACGACGTTCCTTTATATTTTGGTAGACGTTTGCTACACAGTCATTATTATTTATATTATAAAATATCAAGTTAATAGTTAAATTAAAAAATGTGTGATAAAATATATTTATTAAGTATAAAATAAATAATGATAAATTAAACACTGAATAATTAAATAATAATCAAACCTCCTTTCTAAGGAGAGGCTGTTGATGATTGATGTGAAACACTGAATGATCAAGTTATTTTTGCGGCGATGTATATAGTTCATACACGGCTGTAACTATAGCAAGAAGTTTCGGATAAAAGTCTTGTTACACATTTTCAGTCTCGCTACCATCCGCTCCAAAAACGTTCGCTCCGAACTCCAAAAAAATGTTACGAAATAACAGCTATCTCAATTGACTTATCAATATTAACCATAGACAATATTAATTCAAACGTATCTAAATTATTCCACACACGTTTATGACGTCATCAGCCTGTATTTGATGGAGGCTAAATGAAATACCGCCGTCCGCTGGCCATGCATATTACATTTCGTCCAATTAATTGGGTTTCGATCGATATCGTATCTAGTTCACGCCTCAATTCCACGAAATGTATCTGGGTTTTGTTATTTTGATCTGAAATTCGGAATTTCTGGAATTGCGTTTGTCTAACGCTCATACTGGTACTATAAGCAATTGGTTAGAGGTTGACTTAATTTGATATTAATAATCTAATTCTGGAAAAAGTCTATTCTTAGTTAATGAAAATTAAATGTTTGTTACCTTTGTTTAGATGCTCTAAAGGAATACCCATGACCGCATGGAGAGACTGATGTGTTGCGGAGAGACATGGCAGGTAATGTTACAGAAGACGACGCCAGGGACAGGGCGAAGTGGAAGAAGTATACGAAGAGGGCTGACCACACCAAATTGTGGGACGAATAGTCGGGAAGACAGAGGGAGAGAGAGAGAGAGAGAGAGAGAGAGGGAGGGAGAGAGAGAGAGAGAGAGAGGGGGGGGGAGAGAGAGAGAGAGAGAGAGAGAGAGAGAGAGAGAGAGAGAGAGAGAGAGAGAGAGAGAGAGAGAGAGAGAGAGAGAGAGAGAGAGAGAGAGAGAGAGAGAGAGAGAGAGAGAGAGAGAGAGAGAGAGAGAGAGAGAGAGGGCGGAAAGTCAATAAATAAAGACTACAGTTTATTACAATTTAACATGATGTAGATTGGAAATTAATATTGAACCTTTCGTGTCCTAATTTGACTGCAATTTGAAAGATAGTGGATTCTCTCCTCTGAGACTCTTTTCCCAAACTAGACTGGGGCGGGATTAAGTCTTTCACGATACGAATGGACTATGATTTTTTACGTGGAGCGACTACCATCAGACCACCACAACCCAAGGACTAGGCGATATCGAAGTTATTTTTTTTTCTTTAAAAGACAACTCCCGCATTAGGAATATATCCTGTGTCGCGGGGGACTTTACATATATACATGAAACGGACAGCCAGACTCAGAACAAGAATTTGTGGATCACAAAAAGTGTCGTCCCATGTGGGGATCGGACCCACAACACTTAGCGTAGTAGTAAGCGGTGCGCCTAGCAACCGCTTAAACCACTACGCCATCCTTGCAGTCAAGTTCTGCAGAAAGACTGTTGTCAGACTATTTTTTAGGGCTCTGACTTCCCGTAACGATTACCACAGATTTCGTATGGCAACCGGGGCTTAACGTGCTCGTAGAGGCAGGGAGGGGTCTCCATGTATTAAAAATGGTCACCCATCCATAGACTGACCTGACTATGGTTTCTTAACTTTGCAATGTGTTAACCTACTGAGTTACCACGTAGCCACGAGCCAATTATACATACTTATATATTTAAAAATACATACATATTATATTTATATTACACAGACTAAATGATCATGCTCACCACACAATGTTTGTCCTGTGTGGGAATCAAACCCATGACCAGTGGCTTAGCAGTCAGGATCACAAGGCAGTCGATATTATTAACATTTCCTAATCACAGACCAGTAAATGTGAAGAGTGTTTACTCACCTACCATTAGATTAACAATAATCTAATAATAGGTGAGTAAATTAGTGCAATACTGCTTTTAACATACTCAATATGCTTTCAGATTCATCTCTTATGAATAAAATCATTGTTCTCGTAAACCAAAAAAAGGTGAAGAACTGAAAATTTATAAAGCCTGATCTCATTCACAAGTGAGCAGCTGAAAATCCGTGCCAATATTATCGGGCAGTCCAGTTCACTGGTCATTGGTTGAGGTCTCGTATTCAAAAGCCTTCATATCTCTGTGCCATTGCTTGCAGAGCGTATAGTTTTGTGTGAAAATAAATTCAAACCATTTTTACACGCTTTTGTATTAGCTTCACTTGTATGTTTGTATGCGACTCCTTTGGGCGTGATTTTGACTGACTTTAAACGGTCAGAATTCGTTCAAACTTTGTAGATATATCGAGGACCGATGACGATACACTAATAAAAAAATAAATTTGGGGGTGCTTGGGGTGATTTGGGGTGCTTTTTACTATTGACAACAGGCACCCAACGCTTTTTTTCAAATTTATTTTCTATTTTTTAGTTTGGTTTCCTATAGAAAGCGTGTTTTTTAGTTTTTCTAAAACTATAATTTTTTTAAGTATGTATAACGTTGGTGACAGGTACTTGTATGGTAGTAACACTTGATCATGTAATGTATAATACACAAATCTAATTATCTATACTGACTTCGTGGCTAAGTGGTAACCAAGTTGATTAACACATTGCAAAGTTAAGCAATCATAGCCAGGTCATGGATCTGTGACCATTCTTAACGCATTAAGACTCCTATTTACAAGCCCCTCTTTACGTTAAGTCGTCGGTCCCGGTTGCCATACGATTATCTGAGACAATCGTTACGAGTACTTAGTTGGAGCCCTAAAATATATATATATATATTATACGGACTGCACGGATGGCATAGTGGTTTAAGCGGTCGCCACGCCGCTTCCTACTACGCCGAGTGTTGTGGGTTCAAACCCCACATGGGACGACACTTTGTGTGATCCACAAATTGTTGTTCTGAGTCTGGTGTTCTTTGTGTCCGTTTCATGTATGTTTGTAAAGTCCCCCGCGACACAGGATTTATTCCTAATGCGGGAGTTGTCTTTCTTAAAGAAAAAGAAAAATATATTCTACCACTGACAACAGTCTTTCAACAGACTTTGTTATCGCCTAGTACTTGGGTTGCAGTCGCTCCACGTAGATTTAAGGCCGACTTTAACCTATTTTGGGAAATGGCTCCAAGGTAATAGACACATGTCTTTATCTCCGTGGGGGTAGACAGAGGCGAATTGGATCCACACATTTTGGTGAGTTTATTTTTAGTCCCACTTACGTTATAGATGGCAAGCCCATTCCCGTCAACCGGACTCATATTACTAAACAAAAATACTCTTATAATTCTAAATACATACATATTCATACTGTCTGTCTGTTACCTCTTTACGCTTAAATCGCTGAACTGAAATTTGGTATAGAGATAGTCCGAGTCCCGGGAATGGACACGGGTAGTTTTTAACCCAGAAATCATACTCTAAGGGGGTGATGAGGGGGGGGGGGGGCAGCTTGCATGGAGAATCTAGAACCACTGCACAAACTGAACAACTGGGCAAAAGCTAGTTATGGATAAATTACCCCCAGACATGGAACAAATGATCATCACATAATATTTGTCTTTGGTAGGATTCGAATCCACGACCTCATCTCGTTTGTTCGGTATCTGGGTATAATTAATCTATACTATGTATGTATTTAGAACTACATAAGTATGTTTATCAGCAGTCTGGTTACCATAGTACAGGCTCTGCCTAGTTTGGGATCAGACGGTCGTGTGTGTGGTTATTATTGTTAATACTAAACTGCATCCAGTTAACTTAACCCCGTCATTTTTATTATTATTGCATGTTCTCGCTTTTGTTAATAAACGTCATAATATTACCTCGAATTACAAAAAGTCTATTTATATAACCTCTGTCAATATTTGTATGAATTGTATTTATCTTGAGAATATTATTGTTACAATACAAAGGTTTTTAGTGTCTGAGATTTTCTGATTAGATGTACAATTGTTTGCTGCATAATTAGCATGAAAACAAGCTTGGTAGGACCGCAGTAGTATATATTGTATGGAAAACAGTGTTTAATTTTGTTCGTAAGTAGATTTACCTGGGTAAATCTACTTACGAAATATCTGGATATTTGGCGACTTAAATACAATTAAAAAAAACATAGGTACTGTAGTTCCATCTATCGAGAACACACCGAACTACGGAGTAACTAACAAATACTGTAAAAAAATCAATTTTCCAACATTAACTGTTGGCTGCGGCCCGCTAAGCATGATCACCACCAGAGGGACACAACACCCGTTCCTCCCCATAAATATACTGTTTCAAAATTACACTGTATATGTATAAACCCTTAGAGTTCATTTTACTAAATCTTTGCCTTGAATAGATTCTATCTCTGCTATATCTCTGTATCTGCTATCTATATCTACTGTATATAGGTAGGTATAATTCCTTTTAAACATTTAGGGGGAAAGGAGTACGGGGGGGGGGGGTTTCTACCTGTTGTTGTAGATGGCCCGAGGTATGCCAGGGGACCAGGGACTTCCTTTCTAGGGTATACCTGGTTCCCCGGCTATTAGTACCCGAGACGGCGTGCGGTTTTAGTCGGTTCGAGTCCGACATGCCACCGACAGGTGGTATCCGAGGGGATTTCCGCACGGAAAAAAAAGGGGGAAAGGATCAAACATTATGAGTATAAAAGAGACTATAAATCTATAAATCAATCACTTTCGACTACCACGCTATTTCTCGTTCATTTCCATCTAGTTGAATTTAGGTTACTTTCATTCTGAGGGTTAGGATGTCCTAACTGATTTCGGTCTCGACGGGGGAAATTTTTAAGAGGTGTAGCGATCTTGTCGACCGAGACCGACCATGTCTACTCACAAATTCAGATATTGCGTGTCGACAAACAGTACCTTAGGTTCCACAGTGTCGGTCCAGCGTGGTTGGCGCGGTCCCTCCGACTTGCTGCGACGCCCAGCGCGATCGTTGTCGTTCCTTTGCGCACTCTGCACAACAAAATAGGTTACGATGAAATAAATAGTGCCCAGCTGAGAGAACAGTCGGTCGTGTGGTGACGGATCAAGAGTACAGAGTTTAAACTCCCTATTCATACCGTGGGTGTCGTAAGAGCCGACTAAGGGAGTAAACTACGCAGGACAACAGCACTGCAAAGACAAGGAAAACTTGAAACAAACCCTATACCAATCCGTCTGGCCGCAAAACCTCCTTTATATATTATATTCCTATTAGATATATTCCTAGTGCGAAACAACTCTCGCACTAGGAATATATCCTGTGTCGCGGTGGCCTTTACAAACACATGAAACGGACACAAAGAACACCCAGACTCAGAACTATAATTCGTGGATGACACAAACTGCGTCCCAAGTGAGGATCGAACCCACAACAATTTTCCATTGGTAAAAGAATCTTTCAAATCGGTTTAGTCAGTCGAAAGATTGAAAACGCAACAAATAAACAAACAAACAAACATACTTTCATATTAATTGTAAAATAAGTATGAAGTATAGCTCATTACATTTAATTTTAACATTCCTCATTCACGTCGAGGTTTAAAAAACTTATTTCATCATAACTTATTACGGTAACTTCTCAGATAAGAAATTCTTAAAAAAGAAATAAGAAGATAAGAATGAGTAGGCTCCCTTACCCTCGCACGGTCAAAAGCAGAAGCCTGTTGTGGCCTTATGTCATCAGCCGGAGCGGGGTCGAACAATTCATTCGTTTTATACGCCACACCGGGGTACTTCTTGCGACGAGGAATCGCTGGCTCCATCGGCCCTGTGGACCAAAACACATGCTTATTATTGAAGGAGAATATCTATAGACAGAACCTGAGGGTCCATCCATATATGATGTCACACTAATTTCATGGCTTTTTTGAGATGATTTTACATGTTGAAGTTGTTTTTTTATTTAGATTGAAAATTGTTTTTCAATACATACACATTATAGATAAATTACACTCTAGATACAAAACAATTGATCGTCTTCACTACACAATGACTTGTACTGGGTGGGAAACGAATCCACGAACTCTAGCCAAGTAGTCAGGGTCACTAACTACTAGACCAACAGGCCAGTCATCATCAGGTTATCAGTGTAACATTACACTGCAGTGGTGAAACTTACCTCTTTGTATGGGCAGCACAGATGGTGGCGTGGGGGCAGGAGCCGGCTGCTTCACCACGCCCTGCTGCTGCTGCTCTTTGTGCTCGTGCCATTTGTAAGTGCTGCGGTATTCCGAGTGCAGCTGTAACAAGGAAAAAGCACTTTTAGAAAAGATCGATCACAGAAGCTCCATCTAGAACATGTTCAATGAATCCAGGGGGCAAACAAGCGAACGAGTCACCTATTGGTAAGTAACTACCGCCCCCTGGGACACCAGCATATCAAGAGTCACAAGTGCGTTGCTGCCCTTAGAGCTATCCCCAGAGAATCAAGGGTAGGAGGGGTTTGGGCTCCGATAAACTGAGGCACTGGGTGGAAAGCGACGAAAGACTTGCTTAACACAGGTTTTTTGTGAGGTCATGGTATCACTCCGGTCAAGCTGGTCCATTTGTGCTAAAGCATAGCTCTTCCAAAAATGAATAAATACTATCATCAACAGCTTTTAATAGTCCACTGCTCGACATAGGCCTCTCCTTAGAAAGAAGGTTTTGGCCTACTATACGACGCTGGCTAGACGGGTCGGTATAGGGTATGTTAAGTGAATAAAGCCGCCATTGACACTTACAACTCAAGCGTGTTGTCGGAATTTGAGCCTCCCAAGAAATTGGTGAAGGAGGGAGAGGATTTCTAAGGTGTCGTAAGAGCCGACTAAGGGCGCAAAATAACGCATGACAACAGCAAAACTTGACACAAACCTTTTTACTCAATGTTTTGGCGTAAGTCAAGCTAAGGAACTAAATAATGTTTACATATTAATATTAAAAAGATGTGTACTCTATGGTTTACTTAGGACTTTTCGATATTTGAAAAAAACCGTATTATTCGTCCCGTGACTACGCCCTTGGCAAAGAGTACTGACAACATAGTTTTATGCCTGCTAGTCAAAAGCCAGATGCCCGTAGTAAAATCTTGTCTGAAAAAAAAATTCAAACATTTCACAATGCATATCCAATTCGAAAAAGTTCAAATTTAGAACGATACGTTGAATCGGTATTGATCGCTGCTATAGTATATATACATTTTTTTAAGAATACGGAGTGTCAAAACCCCAATTCATCCCGTGGGTGTCGTAAGAGCCAACTAAGGGAACTAACTACGCAGGACAACAGCACTGCAAAGAGATGGAAAACTTGCAACAAACCCTATACCAACCCGTCTGGCCAGCGTGGTATAGTAGGCCAAAACCTCTTTTCTAAAGAGAGGCCCGTGTCCAGCAGTGGACTATTTAAAGGCTGTTGATGTGATGTGATGTGATGATAGTATATATTAGTGACGATTATATATTCCTTATGGAGATGTTATGCAGTTTATCAATATTTTAGACTCTATTGCTTTGTATTAAGCGTATAAGTATTTGCTATTCTCAGTCTAGGCACATAGTAATAAGTTTATTACTGTTACAAAGGTGTTCAAATTTTATTTCTTAAGACGTTTACACCTATGCTCGATAGATGGCGTCGGGACAGTCGACTAAATCACGATATACATACTTTGACGTGACATATCTCACTGACAGCCATATGATCCCAACTTAGGCAGTTCCTGTACTATTTTAACCAGACTTTTTATAAACATACTTGTATTCGTAGATTTCTAAACACATACATATATTTTTTTAGAAAATTACACACAGGTAGAATAAATGATCGTCATCATCACACAATTATTTATCCTGAATTGATCCCTCCGACTTAGTAGTTAGGGTCTCTAATCAATCGCCGAACAAGCCCGTTAGATATAAAATATTGTTAACTACTTATTGTTTTTAGAGAACCCGTGTCATCTAACCTTGTACCATTCCCACAGTACAGTAATAAAAAAAAAAAAATTCTTGTCATACCGTTAGTGACCTTATCTTTCAAACAATAAAGTAGGATTTTGTCCATCTATCTACTATGGCGGTGTTTATCTATCACTAGTTCAGTATTTTAAACCATAAATCGATTTTCACACAGGAAAATAAATTACGTAATCTACTTATATAACGTTCGACACATCAAAGAACTGAAAATAGTATCCGACGCCTAATAAAATCGATTTGTGTACATTAACACACATGTACATATCGTGTGTACACAAACACACGTTTTACGTATAAATACACAGTGGCGGTAGTCATCAAATCTATGACGTCACCGCGTCTCATCCATTATTCTGAACACGGTTGCTTGTGCAGTAGGGTGACCACGAAACGTATGGGTTTGCATGTTTGATTGTGTGGAGAAATTTATGTTGGCAAAATTGAAGTAAGATTATAGACTAATGGTTTCCTGGTTAGAATAACATATCTAGAAATATAATTCCCGGATAGTTCCTATTTAAGGCGCAGTATGGCACACTGTATGGTTTTAGTCAGTTCATACTACATACGGCCTGGTGTGCAAACTCTGGTGGGGTCCGAGAGGGTTTCTACACACACAAGAAGTAAAGGATCTTAACAGGATATTTATTTTATCTACTAAATTAAAAATAAAAGGTAAGCTTTTTATGTAATATAATTTAATAATGAAGTTATGAGTATACTATAATATTTATATTTTGTTAACTGCCATCCAAATTAACCGTGTATGAAAAAAAATCAACATAATTTTTTGAGGATACCTAAAATTCAACTGAAACTTTAAACTCGAACAAACCTATATCATACAAACAATTTTACAAAATTAAAGTGTTATCTCAATCTTGTAATATTACAAAAGCGAGTTCATTTTTTTTGTGGGATTCACTTGTAAAGTTATTTTAAAGGAGAACACATCATCTGACTTTCACATTATAATGGCTCTATGACTACCCAGTTGTCATTGACTGGCCTGTTCATAGGTCTCATGGTTAGTGACCATGACTGCTAACTCTAGGCTGTGGGTTCGATTTCCACCCGCGACAAATAATTGTGACATGGTCACGAGCATGTGTTTGAGTGTAATTTATCTATAATATGTATGTATTTAGAGAAAAATATAAGTCAGTATATAAGCAGCTTGGATACCATAGCACAGGCACTGCTTAGTCTGGAATCAGACGTCCGTGTGTGAGATATGTAAAGATATAATTATTATTGAAATGTAATCGAGAACTTAATTACATAGCAATACATTTTCCTTAATAAGACCTTCGGGTGACAGTGGAGTGAAGTGACACGAAAGTTGCGTGTTGACGTCCTCAGGGAATAAACTTTTGTGATGTCCCGTGATCCGTCTGTCTGTGAATGTTGCTGACGACGACATCGCGTGTGACGTAACACGGCATATTTAGGTGAGGAGGTGGACAGGGAGCAAAAAAATTTAGCGAAATTGGGGCCTAAAATACTTAACCGATCACTATGCAAAAGACGCATAGGATAGGTTATCTTTTATCTCAAAATAAATGACTTTTTCCTTGTGATAAATTGAATTAAAATATTTAAATACGTGTGTCACTTGAAACTCCAATAACACAAGTTTATCGCTTTCCCTCGAGTACTCTTTCTCACTAGAAAAGGGGATAGCGGGCGGGGGTTAGGCTACGGTAAACTCGCATTAAAAAAAACACGCGCTCTCTGGGAGTGCCGACAGAAGTACAAACTTAAATACAGAGGTCTCGGTAACGGTAACGGTAACAGAGTCGTGAGTTCAATTGATTTTCCCATCTCAAAAAATGTCCAACGTGCCTAAGGAAGTTCTCACATCAATAACTGTAATAGTTCTTTCATATTAAGTCACTGAATGTTAAAAATATATTCCACTACAAAAACCTACGGTTTAAATCACTGACCTCGATAAACGAAAACTTTCTTTTGTAAAAGTTACAAGAATCTCATGTGCCTCATTCCGTTTAAACCTTTAATACTAAGATGATTCTCATTGAACAACATAAAATCGCGATTCACGTCCAAGAATAACTTCCATCCTGGTCGCTTCATGCATAATGGAACACACACATACAATTACACTATTATTTACAACGGCATGACACACTGAACTAAAAACCCCTTTCTCGTGGTTCGAATAAAATTAATGTATTTACCACGAATTAAGGAAAAGCAGTCTGTCCGTGTAGTGACGGATTCAGAATACGGAATGTCACTACCCCAATTCATCCCGTGGGTGTCGTAAGAGTCCACTAAGGGCGCAAAACAACGCAGGACACCAGCTCTGCAAAAAGAAGGAAAACTTGTCACAAACCCTATACCAACCCGTCTGGCCAGCGTGGTATAGTAGGCCAAAACCCCCTTTATAAGGAGAGGCCTATGTTCAGCAGTGGACTATTACAGGCTGTTGATGTGAAGGAAAAACAAATTACTAATGAAATCAGTTTCGACAACCTACATGTTGACGGAAGTGTATATATTCTATCGTACTTTATTTCTTTTGGGTGCAGGTTCGATACATAATGTGTGATTTTTTTATGACCTATTAAATAATTATATAGACTGCACGGATGGCGTAGTGTTTAAAACGGTCACCACGCCACTTCCTACTACGCTAAGTGTTGTGGGTTCTATCCCCACATAGGACGACACTTTGTGTAATCCACTAATTGTCGTTCTGAGTGTGGGTGTTCTTTGTGTACGTTTCATATATGTGTGTGAAGTCTCCCGAGACATAGGATATATTCCTAATGCGGGAGTTGTCTTTAAAATAAAAAAAAGGGTGACAACGCACTCATAAGTCTTAGTTAGAGGTGTCCATGGTTGTCGATAGTCACTTACCGCACGTTCTTTTGCCCTACATAACATTTAAAAAATATTTGGTTTAGCTCTAGATGGCGTTGTTCAAGAATCCTAGATTATTATTATTTATTATTAATCTAATATTTGTTATTACAACTGACTTGAATTTATGTCTTGTTGTTTATTTTTTATTAAATAAACAGCCAAGGAAGCCATTTTGTGGAATACCTACGTTTTAAAACTTCACCACATTGGAGGAAATATTGCGTTTCAGAAATTGTTTATTGCGAGAAGCAGAGTATAATAATAAATTGGCTACAACTTTCACACAACGCCATCTAGTCCCAAACTAAGCAGAGCTTGTACTATGGGTACTAGACAACTGATATAAATACACATATCCCCTTTATTTGTAAACATACAAATTAGACATA